ATTTACAAATTGAAAGAAGGAAATAATCCTAGTGATCCTCCTAGGTATAAGGCCTGATTAGTGGCAAAAGGGTTTACTCAAAAGGAGGGGGTTGATTACAATGAGATATTCTCTCCTGTGATAAAGTACAAAACAATCAGACTGGTTCTTGCATTGGTTGTTCAGTACAACTGGGAACTGGAACAACTAGATGTCAAGACTGCTTTCCTACATGGGGAATTGGAAGAGGATATTTACATGAGTCAGCCTCAAGGTTTTGAGGTGAAAGGTAAAACTAACTGTGTGTGCAAATTAGAAAGATCTCTGTATGGGCTTAAACAAAGCCCTAGACAGTGGTACATAAGGTTCGATACCTATGTACTGAAGATAGGTTTTAAAAGGAGTGAATATGATGCATGCCTGTACTATAATGATAGTAAGGAGGGCTGTGAGGTCTACTTGTTGCTGTATGTAGATGACATGCTTCTAGCAAGTTCAAGTAAGACTGAAATCACTAAGATGAAGAACCTTTTAAAATCAGAATTTGATATGAAAGATTTGGGGAGTGCTAAGAAGATTTTGGGGATGGTTATAAAGAGAGATAGGGCTGAAAATAGACTAGTCATTTCCCAAGAAGCTTATCTAAACAAAGTCATAACCAAATTTGGTATGAATGGATCAAAATCTGTGAACGTTCCCTTAGCAGCTCATATGAATCTTTCTGGTGTACAATCTCCTAAGACTGAGGAGGAATTTAGAGAAATGAGGAACATACCCTACGCTAATGCTATAGGTTTCGTCATGTTCTCTATGATAACAACCAGGCCTGACTTAGCCTATGCTATAAGTTTTTTGAGCAGATTTATGTCAAACCCAGGAAAGCCTCATTGGGCAGGTTTGAAATGGTTGTTAAGGTACATTGTTGGTACATTAAATCTGGGTCTAGTGTATGAAAAGAGATCTAAAAAACTTACTCTAAAGGAGTATGTAGACTCTGATTTTGCTGGTGACAAGGATAGCAGAAAGTCTACCACAGCGTACCTTTTTACACTAGGTGACAATTGTATAACATGGAAGTCACAGCTGCAGCCTTTAGTTACTTTGTCAAGTACTGAGGCAGAATATGTTGCCATAACTGAGGCGGCTAAAGAATGTACTTGGTTAAAAGGAATTTTAAAAGAATTGAACTTCATGCATGATACACCTGTTATGTTTACTGATAGTCAAAGTGCTTTATTGCTTTGTAAAAATCCTGTTTACCATGAAAGAACTAAACATATTGAGGTAAAGTATCATTTTATACATGAGAAACTGTCTCAAAGTGAAGTTAATCTTGTTAAAATTCACACTGATAGGAATCCCTCTGATATGGGAACAAAAATTCTACCTGCAAGTAAATTTAGATTGTGCTTATCTTTATTACACATTGACACTGGTTAATTTTCTTGCAGGTGATGGGCGATGATGATGAACAGTTCTTCCATGTGCAAATTCGCAACCAAGAGAGAGTGTTAGGAGAACCAAAGTGAAGAATGTGAGGATATGGTTCACCTAACACTATCAACTTGTGACTTGATGGTATTGAGGTTGACACAATAAGGTCTTCCCACGTTTTTTGGCAGAGGCATGGTCTTTCCTTGCTGTAGACTTACCCTCTACTATTTTAAGAAAGTGGAGCTCTCGGTTTCTTTTTCTAGCAGCAGAGAGGAGCTCTCGGTTTTCATAGCAAAGGGTGGTGGTTCTTCATTGGTTTTCCCCTCTCTCTTTGGAAGGCAATTTGCATAGCATGGGGCTGTTCCTGAGCCTGAAAAACTGCCATAAGAGGTGAAGAAGCAGCTGCAAGGAAGAAGAAGAAGCTGGACAGATTTCGGCCAAAAATGAAGGGGTTGTATTCTTCCGGTTTTATTTTCTTGTTTTTGCCTTGAATCTTGTTTGTTGATTGTTGTTTTGGTTGATTGAACTCCTAGGATCCCCAACAACTATTTTATTGAAAGAATATGTGGTTGAATTTTAGAAAATAGGAACTGTTGACCTCACGAATTGGACCCTCCACGTGACTAATCGATAGCTGTTCCACGTAATCTTCTCTGCACATAGTCAACGCACGGTCAGATGCACATGATCGGAACCAACGGGCGTGACGGCGGCGGCATACACTCCAACGGTCAATTTAGCTTCTGGTGATCGGAACAGTGTCAAGGTTGTGCAAAAAGGATGGGGAGGAGAATATATATTTACTTGTTATGGAGAACTAAGTTGTAAGAGTTTCATTACCATTGCCTCTTGTAAAACCTTGGGTATTTATAGTTGAGGAGAACCGTTAGATGTGGGACACGTGTATGCATTTGACGGTGTGAGATGTCTGCTCATAGGCGTCAACCAGCAGCGTCTATAGAGTGTGCGGGTAATAACTTCTCCCGAGTTGAATTGACATAAAGTGATACGTCACATTAATTAGACTCATGGAGACGTCAAATCAATTAAACCTTGGGGCAGAAAGGATCTTGACACAGATCTCTTTCTGAAATTGGCGATAGATCCTCTAACATCCTTGGAGTGCATTACGCTTCAGTGTCAGAGACAAGAACGCTTTGGTTGAGTCGAATTGTTTGTGTCTCGCAGGACATTAGTAGCTCGCCAACATTAGTGGTGGAGTCACTTTAGAACCACTTTGAATGAGTGTTGACACCTCGTATGATGCAGTGACAGACTTTTCGAAGTGGTTCGAATAGGGGCATAACAAGAACCAAACATTAGCTTAAATATTGTTGATTGAATGCTTAAAATCACATATGGGTGAAATACTGGGGCACCAAGAGAATTACTGTTTTTTGTTTTGTTTTGGATTTGATGAGGGTAAACCTTTATTGAGCTTTAGCCCTTGTTTGAGCCCCATTTTTTGTTATAAAAAATGCATTTTGAATTGTGTGTCTATATGAAATGTGTGGTGGTTAAAAAATAAGAAAAAATTTGAAATTACGTATAATATTATTTTATTGAAAAATACATTGTTGAAAGCTAAACCACAACAAATGCAGTCACGTTTGTTCCACATATACCTTTTTCTTGTACTAATTATGGCCACGATTTCATCTTCTTAATTTCAAGTAACACTGAACTGGAATGAATATTTGATATGATAAAATCGAAATGAATTAGCAATCATTAGAGCCGAGTCTTCATATCTCCTTTCATTCCTTCTCTAGTTTAACCCCGGTTTAATGGATCCAATGCTTTTCTGTGATCCTTGTTCGGTCCCTATTTTTTAAAAATCATTTTTCTCCAAACTTACTTTTAACCCACATATTAAACGGGACTCAAAAATTTTATCAACCAATCAAACAGGTGCACACATATGGTCTTATTTGCTCTTGTAGGTGTACAAAATTTGATTCAATTTATAACGTTAACGTGGGGTTATGAGGAGCTGTGCGTGGTGCCTGCTAAAATCTCCCAGCGATGCGTTGATCTTCCAACCGGCTTCATGAAGAATTTCTATTTTTTATGGTCTAAAACGATTTCCTCTGAAACTCATAATAACTTCAATAATTTTCTTTTTCAAAAGAAATGAAAGGCATAAATGTGAATCCTCTTATCATCTTCAACATGGAAGACAGTATGGAAGTCTTCTTAAAGTTTGATCTGAACACAATTTATGGCTACATGGCTGCAAGGAGATGAACGAGGATGTCGCTATTTGGAAGGGGACGAGTTATGTCACTTATTTTTGCTAAGCGCTTTGATTTTGCATTGGGATGGTAGAGTGCGACTCGTGCTTGAGCAAAGTGTGTGTTCCTTAGTTAGCTATCGTGTTGATTATTTTAGCCTTTTTTGTTAACATAAATTGTTGTTTTTGTGGCTTCATTCGTTGTGAGGGAATAAGTGACTTTATTTTACAAGATTTTAGTACCATATAGGACTGTATTCCACACTTTGAGTTCGCAGTAGCTTAAGTTAATGGAAAGTGTTTCCATTTGCCTTCAAACCAAAAAGAAAAGAAAAGAAAATGTGTACTCTAATGTAATGGTCCATGTAATAATATGCATATTAAATGTTTTCTTTTGATCATATTTATAAAAAAAGGTTAAACCCTAATCTTAAGGGTCCTCCACCACCCCTACTCTGAAGCATCGTGAGGGAGGTAAATTGCAGGTTATGCCTCCAAGGGTATAGGGTGGAAGGCTGTTTGTACACTTGCACTTACCCAATAGCCAAATTCATATTTCAGGATTCGAACCCTTGACGCAGCAGCCTCAAACAAAGTTGGATTTCTCCACCCTCTCCTTTTACCACTTGGAGATGTGCCCCGGGGGCTTCTTTTGATCATATTTATACTTAGCCCATGTGTGGTTTAGTTGAAAAATTGATTAAAATTTAAATCGAAGTCAAAAATAAAATTTTAATCATATATTTTATGAAATTCACAACTTTTCAACTACACATTTTATTTATTTTTTTCACAAAATCCTTTTATTAAAGCACGGTATGATCATTTCACCAACAAAATAAAGATTCACCTTCAACCACAAATTATAGATATTTCTTGTTGATGACTATTACCGTACGAAACGCGCCATCTCTGCGCAGTTTATGTACTGAACTTCCTCGAATAGAATCAATCAATGAACTGTAAGTGCGAAATCTAAAATGGAGGGTTACAACCAAGACAATATCACTGACTAAGGAGAACACGCTCGTGACTGGGCCGAGCTGATCAGCGAGTGCCTCCGCAACATCCTTTCGCGCCTCTCTTTGGAGGACCGATGGCTGGGAGTATGCGTGTGTGCAAGGCGTGGCTACAGGAATGCAAAGATCCGACCCTCAACTCAGTGTTCGACCCCGAGACTGACTTCGACTCGGTCACTGAGTTACCCTGATTCTGGACCCCCGAATTCGAGAGCAGGATCGATAACATGATAGTATCAGTCGTCGGCTGGAGCAATGGATCCCTTTCCGAAATCCGTGTTAGACACTGCTCGGATCGCTCCCTCTCTTTGGTTGCTCGAAGGTATTTTTGTTTCTTTTCCTGCGTATCTGCTCACTCATTTGTGATTAGTTCCTTAAATCATTCTAGAATTGAATTAAATTAGGAGGGAAATCTGTTTGGGTGGAGATGGAAATTTCATTTTGATTCTGGAATTTTAAACTAAACCCTAAATAGTTTCAGCTGATTGTTGTTTATTTCATCCGACTTTATCTATTTTAGTTCAAGTTTTTTATTACAGCTAGCTTGTGTGTGGACAATTTCAGTAGTTTACAAGGTTTCATTAGAAAATGGAAATCAAAATGAGCTTAATATCGTTGATTACCTTCTTAAAGTCGCCTATGGATGAAATATCTGGGCACCAAGAGATTTATTGTTGTCTTCTTCTTCTTCTTCTTTTTCTTCATTATTATTATTTTCTTTTCCGGATATGATTAGGGTAAACGTCAAACGATCTTTAATCTAGCTTTTATTCACGATTCACTGTTTTATGTATGTCAAAGTCATGTCCTTGGCTTCTTGAAAACCATTTCAACCAAGTATTTTCGTCGACACTGTTGCGAAACCAAAACAAATTCTTCCACAGACCTAATTATGAAAATTAAACTTTACTCTTAATAAATTTGATAAAGATGACATAAATGTGTTTATTTATTTTCAGTTTTTATTCAATCAACTGCTATATATTCTACAAAATCCTATGCAGTAGATCATATTATTTCAAATCACCTAATATATGTTTATTTTAGTTTACACTGAGAACATGGCTAAGGTAGTCTCAGTCTTCCTAACAGTCGCAACGTAAGAATTCAATTCTTGAGATATGAAATTGGACTCTTCGTGGATACTAGTGTACGGGCAAACTCTTATTTTCTGACTTGTTGGGGTACATCCCACAATTTACCTCCCTCACAATGCTCCAGGGCAGGGCGATGGGGCCTTCAAGATTAGGGTTCAACTTTTTATTTTTTTTATTTTTTATTTTTTTGGAATATTTTTTCGCTTCTAATTTGATCACATTTTCTCTTTATTTCTATGTACGGTATCGATTTATTTTTCTTTAAATCTGGACCATATATTCTAAAAAGTAGATCCTCTTTAGACAGAGTTACCATTTGCCATTTGTTCGGTTAAAATCGCACTAAACCTGGATGTTCATATGGTTAGGATGATAAGATCCTATCAATTGTTCGGTCAAATACTTTTTCCTATTTTTTAATCACAATTTCTCCTAAAAATCACCATTTAAAAACTCCTTTTTTTTTTTTTTTTAAAATAATAGTTGTCAAACAGGATGTTAATCTTGTTTTGTTTATTTGGTGTCGAGATCTAGAGTGGTGATTGCAGTGTGAAATATCACTATTACTCTCTCTCTCTCTCTTTTTGTTCTTTTATTTATTTATTTATTTTCAACACCAGTTTGATGGTTTTTGAATGTAAATTTTCCTTAAAGACTTTGCTTAAAAATGGAGGCTAAGAAGTACAAATACCATAACAAAAGCTGTGGACCAAAGTAATAAAACGGAATACATCTTGATAGAAAAATTCAACAAAATGAAATGGTTTTTTAGAGTGGGCCCTTCATTGACTTGCATGCCTTTCTCACGCTCCTCGAAACTAGATCATAGCCGGTTTCATATTGAACAATGTGCTTTTGGTTCCTATACTTGTATAGTTGAGAAGCCAAGTATGTCTTCGTGATATTTGGAGCTAAGTTTTTTTGGTATATCATAAATCTTCTGATTGATCATGAACTCTGCACACATTATTAGAAAAACACCAAAGTCGTGGCTACAATAATAGTACATGTAATGTTAGATGTAACGAGCAATGGCATTATTATGTAACAAGCCCCAGAGGTTCGACGACCACTTTTAACGCCTATTCCCCCGTTGAGCATCCATTAAAATGGATAGAGTTCGGTTGTACTATAAAGCCCCAAAAAACAAGCTGTAAAATACAAGAATGTTTCAGCAGTACAGCAGAAATAAAGTCACCAAGACTTATCTCAAGAGAAATCACAAGACATAATAACATCCACTAAGGAATCAGCCGAAGATCACATAGATCTTCCAAAACCCGCCACTGCTCACTTGCAAATCTCACAGATTCTTGCAAAGATAACACCGAGCAGTCCACAACTATATGGGTCTATCACATTACAAAAGATTTCTCAACATTCATTCATTGGAACCACCAAAATATGTGAGCCTTAATAACTAAAAATGGAGTTCTCACATAGGAAAGAAAACGACCAGAAATCTGACCCAAAACCAAGGATATTCTCCAGATAAAAACTCATTTATCACCTAGAATAATTGTTCCCGGTAGCAAGAATAGATTCTGTCTCTTGGTTCACAGCATCACATATGCATTTAATCACTAAAATCACTCAAGTATTATAACCCTAAATCACCGAGGAATTAGGAATTCTTGCAGAGAGAGAAAGGGGCGATTCGGACTCAACAAGAAGAATAATTTCTGAATTTTTCTCCTCTCAGAATCTGCCGGTCAATGGAGTCACTCCAGATTTATATATTGCAAGTCACTAGCATAAGATTGGACAGCCACAATTGTGCCACTTGTCAAGATTTTGTTGATTGCCTCAACTAATAGAGTTGCTATTTGTAAAACACGTTTTCTTCAATTTTGGAAGCACATCTTTTACTGCCACAGGTTTAATCTCAACAATCTCCACCTTGCTTTCACCACAGGTTTAATTCTCAACAATCTCCACCTTGGTTCCAAAATTTAAGGTTATAGTGCACTCACGAGCTTCACCAACATTTATAATGTCATTTGCTCCAAGTACCTGTACAATCAATGAAAAGAATTAATAGATAACATCTTTAAACAGTTTTGAAACTTATTTAAAGGTATCACCTTAGTTCCCATAT